CCAGTCAGTTAACTGAAAGCACAGTCAGAGAAAGAAATTTGCAATGTAAAGTTTATTTAAAAAAAAAAAAAAAGTCCTGGCCAGCCTGTATTCACAAAAATCAAATCCTAATCTGTAACTAAGGTAAAATGGTAGAAACAGCATTTCCTGTGGTGTTCAGTGGGAAATAGTACACAATGATTTGCAAGGTCTCTGTAGCAATAGTGTATTTTGTTGAAAACAACAGGGAGAGGGGGGAGTTTTAACCTTCGATCCCTCTTCCCACAAACATATTTTTCACATATTACAACTGATGCAAGTCCCAACTTAATGGCTGGTTTGGAACCTGATTTTTTAAAACAAAACAAAAACAAACAAGCAAAAAAAAAACCACACACACAAAAAAAAAGGCAGTGCAATCCAGACAGCTAAGGAATAAACTCTTCCTGCTTCTTAGATGTTCCTTCTTGAGGAGGGTTTGTTCTTGATCTGTAGTTATGCTGAGATGGATAATTTGATTCACTGCTAGAAAGAACTGGAGGTTTTTCTTTCACATTTTGCTGCATTAATTGTGTTGTTCTTTTCAGCATAGATGCTTCACCGACATTTTAGGATTTGTTAATATTTCTAAACTTCTTGGACAAAACAACAGCCTTGCTGATAATTAGAAAATTGCCACTCCATAATGGAAAAACCTGAGCTTTTACTTAAGACTTGTTATTCCCCTTAGTATGAAGGTTTTAAACACACCTTAACAAGAAGCCCTTTAGAACAGTAATCAAAAACAACTGCTGTCATTACAAGTACTTTATTTGTACTGCAAAAATAGCTGTATGCTGTCCTGAGTGACAATCATCACCTCTACTGAATTTCACTCTGTAGACAGGTAAAACCTCAGCTACATCAGCAGCTGAAGATGTGGCCAGTTACAAAGGCAGTTTCAGCTTTACCATGCAAAATATAGGTTAAATATGCAAACTAGCATGTGATTTAATCCATTAAAAGTGGAATAGCCTGTCAGAGAAAGTACACTGGCAAATGGGCAACCAGTTGAACATGTTATATTTTAATTTGCAGAGACAAAAATGACAAGCAATTTATTTACATGAAACTGTACAAAAGCAAATTAAATTATGTAAATATTTCATAAATAGAGGTGGACTAGCGTTTAATACATTTTGCCATGTTTAGCATAGTTGCGTGCATAGTGACTCATAATAAACAATGATAAATTGTTCTCTGCTTCACTATCAACATCCAAGTTGCAGAACAATAGTCAATGATTAATATTACAAACAGATCGTACCACACTGAATGCAAGTGCTTTAAAATTTAGGAAAAAGTTGTCTGAAAGCATACCCCAGGTAGCTGGTGGCTGTTGTCTTCTTCCTTGTATTTATGCTCTTCAGTCAGTAATACAATTTAACAGGTGGACTTTCATTTCTATTGCTATTTCATCCGCTTCATTTCTCAAGAAAACACTATATATCTATCACCAATGAAACAAAAGGAAGAGTATTTCGTTGTTCAAGTTCCTTACAAGTGGTTGGTGAAGGCTAGATTTATGGCAAAGTCTTTATCCATATTCTTTGTCTTCCTGCTTGACAGCTTCCTAGGGTAGCCTTTCAGCCAATCATTTCAATCCCTTTTAAGTTCTTCCCCCACATAAAAATAATGTTTAACTTTTTTCCTGAAACTCAGGCAGCAGGCCAGTCAGAAACCGTATTGAATAAGCATAGTGGATCTGAGATCCAGAATGATCATTAGATTTTAGACCAAAGCTACTGAATTTTCTAATACATATAAAGTTATATATTAACGCATCAATCTATAAAGGTGCCCTAATGTAAAAATACATGCAAAGCTCATTTGAGTTTCCCATGGAAGGAAATAAAAGGATGATTTCTATACTGTACAACTGAAATGTGATAATGGCTAAAAGCAATTAAACAAAAAAAAAAATCTGTCAATTTTCCTGGCAACATGACTGGTGACACCTTGCTAAATAACTATAATATAGACTGATCATAGTTTTCCAGGCAGCAGAATTAAAAACAAATGAAAGCAAACCCCAAATCCCACACAAATAGTAATAAAAAAAAAAATCCTCAAGACCTACTTAAACCACAGCCTTGCGTTAATAATGCTTAAGACTGGTCCATTAACTGAGTTTGGCAAAAGGCTTGTTTTTAAATATATTATTTATAATTTCTCAGAAAATAAACACAGGTAAATATACAGGTTCAAAAAAGTTGGGAATAGCCCCTTATCCCTCAGTGTCCAAACCCAACTACCACTTTACCATAATAATAGGTATAAAAGGCACAGTTGCATATTTTGCATTCACCCTAATTATTTTTTATAGTTTTATTTGTTTATTTTTATACAAAAGCACTCTATTAATGGAGTGGCACCAGATTTAACCTACTTCAAATAAAGAGGAAAAATACAAACACAAAATATATTTGTGTGTCATGCCAGGTCAGAAGAGTAATCAGCATATTAATAGTGGCTAGTTCCACCAGAATTACTGTGAATACTTACAGTAGATAGAATTTTTTTTTTTTAAATCCTTTCACACCCTTTTCAGATCTAAGGAGATGCACACAAGTAAAGTATTTAATGACTGTCTTATGTAGTGCAAAAATTGGTGAGTGTCTGCTGATCCATTTAATCTGAAGGTCTTGTATGACCTGTATTATTAGCCTTGTAGAAAAAGGGTCTAAGAATATAGGGAACCAACCTACCTAATTCATTTTTTTGTGTGTGTAATATTAAAGAAAATCTTATTAAAGGAAATTCTGTTCAACATTTGTGTTATGCAATTGTGTATTCTGTTGAAACGTGCAAGAAAAATGTGTATACATTACATAAGCATTTTTAGAAGCATTTTTAAACAGGTACTTACAGATTATACAAAGCAGTAACTGCAGTATGCAGTCTCATAACAAAGTACTAGTTTGCATCTCTCCATATTACTTAAATAATTAAACATAAAAATGTTCAATCATTATTAATCTTTGATTTTAATATTTTCTTTCTAAAATGTGCCCATTCATCACAACTGCTATAAACAAACTATCATTACTTTAAGAAAGTAAACGCAAGAGAGGAGAATAAAATGGCCAAAAATGGCACATCTCGCTATATGGAGAAGTGAATTCAAAAGATAAATGTGATGAGTTGTATTGATTTACCAACCTCTACTTTTGGCTCTTTAAGGTTATTTCTACGCAATCCCTCAAAGCAAGAAACTACCCAAAACTACACTCTGACTACAGTATACTAGAGAGCCATCTAGCCATGCCATAATGCCAGGTTAAACAGCCAGGGATTTGAATGCTTCCCCCCTTCTCAAGCTGCCCTTGCTGTGTTGTTCGATTGTCATTTTCAGCTGAATGTCTGAGCTCAGTCTGTCTTTAGTACTACAGCAACAGCTACAAAGATACTGGTTGAAGTTCTGCACATTTAGTTGCTCTTATTGCACAAAAACCTGTTTCATTTCCTCTTTTCTTCAAGAAGCACTCACCATGAGAATCATTACGGCCCAGAGCTCTTGCATATCATGGCAGCTTTGACTCATCCTGTCCTGCTAGGTGAGTGTCATACCACTGTTTATCAGACCAATTTCTACCTAGCCTAAATGTTCCGAGTCTTGACATCCGTTAGTATTGCACTTCTCTTGGTTTTAATGCACTTGTGTTTCAAGAAAACCTGCATTATATCTTTGATTAACTGAAGCAATTGGTACAACACTGATGACGAAAGACTTAGCAATCACTTCCTGCACTCTGAAAAGGTTTTGTTTTTGACGTGTAATATTCTTTTGTCACTGCATCATCCCACTGTCCACCCTTTTAATCCCACCAAGCATTCTCATTAACACAGCCTTCTATTACTATTACTAGTTTTTAATTTTGATCTGAAGAATCCCCTGGAACTGGCATATGCAGCATCTCACATGCAGCATCTGCTGCAACGTATCGTGTCATTACAAAAAACCCACATCAGTTCCTTTGGGCGTTCAACTGAACCACACTGGAAAATAAAAAATTGTGTCATCTGGGCTTGTGAACTGTGCTGCTTTGCAAAATATAACTGAAGGTGTGTTATGAGCATATGTGTGCATTTGTGAATATATTAGTTTTCTAAGCCAAGCCCCAATACTTAGCAGTTCCCCTGATCCATTGTGTGATCTTTGGCCTTTTTGTTATTTCCATCTTCCCAGCTGGATGTTAGTCTTGCCCAAATTGTGATTTCAACAGTTTATCGTTACTATCCTACAGTATATGTGTTACTAATTGTGTTTACACTGAAGTAATCATTACAGAGAACACGAGAGAAGGAGAGAAAGAGACACAGCAAGAACACGTTTGTTCTATGGAGAAAACAGAACCAGAGTTCATGAACCATAGGAAAGTATGCCATGTTTCTGACTGCAGTCTCAGGCTGAATGTATTTCTGTTGCTTCCAGCCTCAGATGAGAGGTGAAAATATTAAAGCTGTGGTCTTCACAAAGTGCCTATTAACGATTATTCCTTTATATTTATCTCTATATCTGTATGGTTTCTGAAGGATTGTCCCTGGTGGGGATCAGCAATATTCAGATGATATGTTTTGAATACATTTTTCCTGACCTGTTGTCCTGAACAAGCCAGATGACAATCAAACAAAATGCGTGGCTTAACTCATGCTTCGGCAGAGGGGAAACAGCAGTGTGTCGTGTTCTTTTTAATCAAGCTTGTTACTATGGGAGGAATTGGCAACCATAGATTTAGGAAAATAAAAATCAGTGAGGGGGAATTAGACATGCAAGTAACGTTTTCTACATTGTACAATACAGTCAGGCAGACAGGGTAATTAGATGCCTGCTATGGAGGCAGAAGTGGCAGGCAGATCTTTTGTCTCTTTGGTGGCCCCTCTTTTCTGTTTCATATTTTTTGTTAAAATTGTTTTGATTTTAAGAATTTTGCCCCTTTTCTTTCTTATAATATGAAAGAACTTTGTTGCTGCTTTTTAGCCTACAGGTAAACTTCTCTTCTAGTGAGAGTGTTGACAGGAGATGGCTTGTATTCCCCTGTCTGTGTAAGGGGGATATCCTCTGGATTGCCTTCTTCATTTTTGCTGAAACTAGCCGCGCTGAAGGTCTCATAGGATGAGGTCAACTTTTTGTTAAGGAGGTTTCTGTTGCGATCACCCATAAGGGAGGCTTCTCCATTGGCCAGCTTTTCCTGACTGCCCCGTTCATCGACAGGCATGAAAGTGGAGAGTTTTGGCTGGCTCTTCTGCTTTCTTTCAGGAGAAGTGCGAACTGGCATCCAGCAGGAGTCCGAGTGGCCATATTCATCACACTCTCGGGTACACTTCCCTGTCAGGGCTACATCTGGTAGAGGCCTTGAATCTGAAAGTAAAATAGAGTTGTCTTTACAAATGAATAATATTGCAATGACTTCCAGTGAAACTGAGAATCCTTAAATTCACAAAAGGTATTTTTAAAGATCTTGGTATGAATGTTGCAGTAGGTTCCTCAGTAATAGTTTTTTTACACTGCATGTGCCCATAGGCAGCAAGCATATCTGTACAGTTGCCTTCAACCTCAAGAATTGAAAAATAAGACTATTGAGCCACTTCCTGTGCTTGTAAATCAGCATCAAAAGCATTTGGCATTAGGTACTTCATGAATTTTGAGGTCTAAAAGAGTCAACCAATCACTTAATTCCATACTGCCAATTTTCTCAAAATTATTAAAAATACCTTTATTTGAATTTTTTGTAAAGAATGGTTTGAATTTATGTGAAAGGAACTTGAGGCCCTGGACCCTGCAGATCCTTATGAACATGCTTACCTCCCTGCAAGTGAGCAGCTTTGGTACTGACAGTGGGACACAACCTGCACATCATGTAAACCTCTGCTTGTATTTCCCAGAGTGGGAATTCATTCTTAGTAGACAATATGTTACATGAATCACATAAACGATTAGTAGAAGCATACAAAGACCTGTTTCTGGTTATAAATGTCATCTAGTATGTATGATGTGTGCGTGTGGATGGACAGGGAGAATCTGAGTGCTGCTAAATAGATGCACTAACATTTTATATATGACCTGATGTGTTAGAAAGTGTCCTGTTCCAGATTAGTGTGTAAGCTTTCTAGCTACCATATTTCTAAGAGCTTTTACGGAAAACTAACAAAGGTCAGGGAACTGCAGGATTGACTCCTACCTGACAAAAATACAGGTAGTTTTTAATATTCATATTTTGCTACTTGCATTACAACTGAATTAAAAAGCTGCCTCAACTAGTTTAAGCACTGGGTATGATTCTGAAACCTTCCTTTTCTTCAGTTATACTATACTTTATGGTCTACAAGAAATAACAGGAGCTGCCTACAAAGTAACAACTTGATGCTCAAATAATTAAAGTTGTTGGCAAAGAACAAAAACCAAGTAATTTTTCCAGTTTATATGATATGACTTTCATATGATGTGATGTATATGATGAAACTTTTAGGTTTCTTTTATTTTAAAAAATTATTATTTTTAAAAGGAGCAAGGAGCTTCAACATGAAAACAGTCAGGTACTTCACAGGGCCTGTGGCAACTTTCTACCTACAACAAAATCACATGAACAGTAGTTTTACCAGTAATAATCTATGCCTTATAAAATATCTCTCAAAGGCCTATTCAGCCTTCATTTTGTTACTTCCTGTGCCTATTTTTTCTTTGTCTGCCAGATGAGCACTTCAAACATTAATTTCAACAGTGAAATTTTTAAAAAACACCATTGCTGAGGTTTAAGGGAAAAAAAGCAACCAAAAATCCTTTGCCTCTTCCAGAATAAACTGTTTTATTTTAAAATATTTACAATAGGTGCTTGAAGAGCAAGCACAGTTCATTTCAGCATCTGCAGATTTAATCCTGATAGAATTGCAAAAGCTCTTGAAAGTCAGATTTATGTTCACCTTGACCTGATTTTTTAATACATTTAAACATTTATTTAATTAGTATTTTGTTGCAGTATTGTAAAGAATATGCATATTATTTATTATTAAAAGTTGTCAACATTTTAATAGAATCTACTGTATGCTTTCTGAATACTACATAATGTTTCATATTTCAATATGTTATTTATTTTAATGAAGAAAGCAGCACTCATGTTTAGATAACTGAGTAACAGTAGCTGAGATGTATAAGGCTGGGAGGAGGGAACTGAGAGTTGGGATTTTTTTTTATTTTCCCAGTTGTACTTTTTAAGGCTTTTACACTTAGACTCAACTATGATTCCCACATTTTTTCCATGAAGAATGCAAAGAATATGTACAGTTATCAGCCTAATTTTTAGATGACTATGTTCTGGAGATGTAGACAGAATACTGTAACTGGAAAATTCTCTATTTGCCAGTTAAATCTCATATTATTTTGGCATTCCCTAAAGGTAGGAAGTATAATTAACTGCTGAGCTGCACCTGATGTGCTTTGATTTTCAAACAGAAAAACCCTCTTTACAATAGGGCAAATCCCCTTCTCATCTAAATCTCAGTAAACTCTTCAAAAAGGACCTTATTTCCAAACTGTGACCATTAAACATTATGTTTACTATTAGTATTTCTATTATTACTCTGGCAGAATATTAGCAAATATTTATTAAGGCAATATATGTCACCTTTACTTAAAAAATAGGGCTATGTGTTTATCAAAAAGGGCTTTTTTTTGTTGTTGTTGGGTTTTTTTTCCAGACTGAAACAGTTAATGTCTCATTATATGTGATGGTTTCTTTCTAGTGCAAACACATCTTCAGCCAGCATTCCTTGTGTTGACAAAAATCCTTCCCTTGCTAGTGGTCCTTGAATCACACACTTGAAAGTTTACCATTTGGCACTGTGGTGCATGCCTGTTCCCTTCTGGATGAATATTAGAATTCCTTGTTCTAAAGCAAGAAGACTCGCTGTACAATTCAGCCTTATAGTCCTGTTTTATGAAGCAACAACCTCTAAATCAGCACCTGGCTGACTCACCCTGTTGAGTTATGTGATGGACCTCATATTCACACCCACCAAAGAACTCAGAGAGACACTGGCAGGGTAATACTAGCCCAAATGATACCCTGACATGCTACTCCCAGGCTCATCACCAGAGGCCATCAGTCCAACAAAGGTCCAGTGGCGTAGGCCCACAGGAGCACAGGGGTGTAATAGGAACAGAAATCAAGGACTTGGGAGAACAACCACTTTGTCCTGGTCCTTCCCATGGGTCTCCTAGCAAGGCCATCAGTCCCATTGTCCAGGCATGATACCCATCACCATGAGCTAGCAGCAGGATTGCTGCCTAGGTATGCAGGATGCATTATGGGATATGGGAGAAAAGCAGTTTGGGATAGCACAGGACTTACTATGCAATGTTTAGGGGAGGACAAGGGAGGGGTTTAGGTGACTGGAGGAGGACAAGCATGGGAAAATAAACAGATAAGGGGACAAAAGGGCCAGTCACACATAAATAATTTGCCAGTTCATAAGCTTGTCTGGTTGTGCCCTATCTCTGATCAGCACCATCCGTCCTATCTTCTTATTAAATGCCTTTCCAACTTTCCTGGGTATGGGCTCTCTACTACGTGTGCGTATGCATGTACACATACGTGCATGTCCAGTCTCACCAGCGGACTTCCATCCTGTCCAGCCAGGGAGGGGAGCAGAATGAGGCCACTGGTGACCTCTGTGTTCGTGTGAGTGCTCCGTCTGTGATCTGCGTGGCCAACTGTGTATATATTTGGTTTATATGTGTGTGTGCTGTGTCTGTGTGCCTGCTGGGAATACAACTTCATCTTTGCTACTTGTTGGACCTGGGGACATGGAGCAGCAGCAGCAGCCTCACCTCCCTCAGGCTGTCAGATCCAGTGTAATATATTTCCCTCTAAAATACCCTTCAATTAGTATTTGGCACGTACAGTTAATGGAGCCTTCTACTCCAGTGCTTGCTTGCATCTGTTCTAAGAGCTTGAATCAGGACAGCATTTAAGCACACGTTTAATCTAACCTGGTTTTGAAATCTGTCGTATTTAACTGCTCGGCTATTTAAAAGATGGACATAAGTTCAGCATTTAGTGGGGGAAGGTAGGCAGTGCAGGGAAGGAGGGAACGTTTTGTGTGTGTGGTGTTGTGTCAGAAAACACACAGTGCTATCAGGACTGAACTATTACCAGGATCTAAACTGGTCAGGACAACTTGGGTATTTTCTATACACTGCAGTAGAGAGCAGAGATTTAACCTTCATTTTGAGTAAACTGCCACACCATTTTAGTCACAAAGTAATTAAAAGTATTTTTTGCTAATTCCCTGAACAAAGAGACCCTCTATTGCAGATTAGTGACTTTATGCTCCTCTTTTTACATTATCTAGCCCATGGAGTTGTGAACAATCTGAATTTGAGAAAATTTAAAAGAAAGTTACTCCTATCCTCTGGCATAATTTACATCGAAACATATCTATCTCAAAGTGACATGCTTTTTAAAGTACTGCTCAGTTTAAAAGTTAAATACTTTAGTGGCAACCACACTGCCAACTGACAAGTCTAATGGAATAAGACAGAGCAAAGAATATGTCAGTACAGTTGACAAATTATCAAGGAAGAGTACAGCTCATTTCTACCACAGTTATAAATCTGGAAACGGACTCAAATAAGGGCTTAAAATGCCACTTATTAACAAACAAATTTTATCACAACACTAATTAGTGAGAAAGTAAACCTGGAGGGATAATATTTCTTGTCATAGAGAAATTAGTAGATTTGAGGTTAGGTTTTAACTGTTTATACATAAAATACTCAAACTTAAACTTTTATTTGCATAAATTTATCTTCAGAGCTACAATGGAGGATGTCATCTAAGTTATTTTCAAACATACCCCTGATGGTGTCTCTACATCAGAACTAGGTATTGCTTGACTATTTACAAAGCCATTGTAAACACAGTCCTTAAAATGCAGATATTTAGACAAGGTTTTTGGTATACATGTAAATGGAGACTACAAAAGTGAATATTTAAAAGCTGATTTCACTTGCAACTGCTCTGAGGTCAGCTTAAAAAAATAAATTGGAGAACACTGATTTACAGGGTCTCACAATCTGTTTTTTCATTGCATCCAATATAAGCTTTCACCATCTATTTCTAGAGTTAGCAGATTGAAGTTGGGTTTGGCTTTTTTTAAATTATAGTTATCATTAATCCAACAAAGTTTTAAACATTTATCACTAATTTCTGAGACAATGATAGCTCATGATTCCCATAAAACTGCATAAAGAATGCAAATGAATGGAGTTATTTATGTATGCTCGTGGTTCTGTTGATTGTAGCTGACTGTTGCTTTAGGGCTGGAAGGATCGCTTGTTTTCAAAAAAGGAAGGCACCTACC